CTTCGCCCTGTTATTTACTCACTCGATTCGATATTTTTACTGTCCGAAGTCACAAAAGTTGTAACCAAGAGAAGCCAGGCTGCACGTACCATTTTTAAAATGTCAGCAGCCTAGCAGAAACATTAGACATAAATCACAAGTTATATTGTATTTGCAATTAAACAGATCAAATTTAATGTCCACAGAAAAGCCTCAGCAATTAGTAAAAAGATTAATATAGTGAAATGTCCCCGGTTTAGCAGGCCTCCCAAGCAAAGCCGAAATAAAGAATTGAGCATATTATCAAAGAGTGTGTGAATATTAATGCCCAAAAATCTAAGTCCCCAGGTCCCTGATGCAATTATTTTCTATTCACATTAATTGTTCCTAACAGATGACATTAATGCCTTTGAGTTAAAATGTGTCCATGGGAAGATTTCGCAAGATCAATGCTGTTTAGAAATAAGGTCACTTTTATAATCATTTGCTCAGATTTTAACCACTGCTCCACATAATGAGGTTAGCATGGTGATTGTTTTTTCATGTGAATACCAAAAGTTAATTTTCACACCAGCCAGTAAGTGTGTTGGGGTGTTCGCAGTTTTCTTGCTACTTATTTTCCAGCCACTACTTATTTTTCCTGCAGCTTATTTCCCATCACAGACTGACAGACTGTGAAAGTGTGATTATTGTTGATAAGCTGTAATTTGCGCAAGCATGTATATAGAACACCGACGAACTAGAATAAACTCTTTTGAGTCAGGATATGTATTACCCAATCGAGACATGTCAACTCTTTTGAAGTTTACCTGTCCAAGGCAGGGTTTTGGAACAAAGAATTAAATCATCACGAGTCAATGTTTCTGCTTGTTTTCACCTAGAAACTTCACTCACGCATCTTAGATCTTTCATCCGGAGATTTGCTAGCAGAGGTGGAACGGAGCCGAAGTCTGACACAGACACGAAGTGATGTTGAGACGCACGTGAGTTCCCCGGTGCCTTCAGAACACTTGTTTAGGTGGCTGTTTCTCCTCCGTCAAGTTCAATGTCGTGAGTGAACCACAGCGTGCCTCACTGAAGCATTGTCAGGCAGAGGAAATGCTTTCCTGTGATCTCTGAAACTCAGTCTCACGGCCCCCCGCTGAGAGAGTGAGCGGAAAATGTCACTCTCGGCAAAAATATCATAAATCTTGGCTTTGTCCCCACGATGCCTTTTTGGGTATTGATTACATCTCAGAGTCTCTGAGAAATGGTCAAGGAGCTTTTTATTAAAGCCCATGTTCCATATTAGTCATCCTCCTTTCATGATATATTATGTATGAACTTTTAAAAATTCATGGGCTGTACAGTTTTTTCTTCAGCTAGGGTTAGCTTTGTGCTTATTTGGCAAAACTTTAACCAGCATGGCTTTTAAGTATCGTTGACCTAAAAAGTAACTTGGAAAAAAAACCCACAGCCAAATAAATATATATTGAAAAATCTTTTGCTTAAAACAATGACAGATGAACATTGTGAATAACTGGCTTTTTATTTTACTGTATAATTTTTATAAGTATAGATAGGATATCCTTTATCAAAGGTAAATGTTCTCAAGTTAGATTGAAATGAAATTTTAGTGGAATTCCATCACTTTAAATATTTATGAATATCTTAATGGCATCCTATCTGTAATATGGCCTTAAGGTCAGGAATATTTTAAGTGTGCAGTTTTTATCCAAGGAACTCTTGCCTTCATCCTCTCTATCCTTTTTCTTAGCTAAAATTATGGATTTTGTATTGCATTTTTCACAGTAAGGATGTTAAAGCACATGAGTGATTCAAGATAGGAATCTAAAATATACTTTGAATAGTGCAAATGAGGTGTATTTTGCCAAGTAAATCAAAATACGATAATGTTGCAGTGGAAGCCAGTATACATTTTTTTAAAGAAGAATTTTAATAATTATTATTTTTCTATTACAAATTATAACTCTTCGCAGTAAGATATTTGGTAGATATGCCCAGGAGGTCTGCTGTTGTTAGGGCCTTACTATAGCATAGTGGCTAGGACCTGGGTCTGACATCAGAATCATATGTGCTGGGTGCCCTTAGATATTAACACCTCACTGCCTCAGTTTCCCCATCTGAAAATGAGCATAATGATGGTTGGGTGTTGTTTTTTTTCTGAGGATTGTGGTGAGGATTATGTGAGATAATATATGAAATGTACTTAACATAGTACCTGTTAACAATAGTGTCAGTAATAAGCTCTCTGCTGCTTTAGCCCTCTTCTGTTCCTCATAAGAATGTGGCACCATGCCACAGCCACACAATGACATGGCAAAGATGGAGACTGATAACTGAGGATGGTATTTACTAGCGTGTCTCTCTGGCAGCTCACATAAGTGATCCCTGGAAACAAAACATACCCTCTGTTGGCTGTTGCTCATCACGGCTCCTGCATGCAAGGCGTCAGACAATGATGGCCTGTCAAGAAGTATCATCCAGGGCCCCTGAGAGAGGCTCTAAATTTATGATTTAGTTAAAGAGCCAAGACATGTATATAAAAACATCCTAATATATAAAGAGCCAGGGTCTGTCACAACCTAAACGTCTGGATGGACAACTGAACACCAGGCTACAGTCCCAGCTAGCGAGGCAGAAGTTAGTCCTGGGTCCCAGCGGCGAGGCGGGAGTCAGTCCTGGGTCCCAGCCACCTGCGGCGCAGCAGTGGGAGGGAGCTGTGGACTCTGGTCGCCCACACTGTGACGGTGGGAGGGAGCTGTGGAAATGGAGCCATGCTGCCATCGGACTAGCCTCGGCGGCGAGGCAGGAGTCAGTCCTGGGTCCCAGCTGCCCATAGCAGGAGTCACTCCTGGGTCCCAGCCACCTGCGGCGCAGCAGTGGGAGGGAGCTGTGGACTCTGGTCGCCCACACTGTGACGGTGGGAGGGAGCTGTGGAAATGGAGCCATGCTGCCATCGGACTAGCCTCTGGGTCCCTCCCCCCACCCACAGGCTCCAGGGAACCAGAGCCATGCTGCCATCGGACTGGCCTCTTGTTCCCTACCCCCAGCCCACAGGCTCTGGGAACTGGAGCCATGCTGTCATCAGACTGGCCTCTTGGTCCCTCTCCCCGCCTACAGGCCTGGGGAACCAGAGCCATGCTGCGATCAGACTAGCCTCTTGGTCCCTCCCCCAAGGCCCGCAGGCCCGGGGAACAAGAGCCATGCTGTGATGGGACTGGAACCTACCCAAGGGGTCCCGGATTGTGAGAGTGTGCATGCTAGGGTGAGAGACCACCACCCCCCCTTGAGTGCACGAATTTTTGTGCACCAGGCCTCTAGTTTTTAATAATAGTAGCAACACCTAAAAGTTACTAAGCAGTGCTATACACTAGGAGTTGTTCAAAATTAACAATAATCTTATGTAAGGGGTGTTTTCATTCTCTCCACTTATGAAGAAAGAAACAGAGGCATGGATGAGTTAAGTAATTTTCCCAATGTCAAAGTTAGCAAGTGGAAACCCAGGATTTAAACAAAACAAATAGCCTCAGAATTCAAGCGCTCAATCACAGAACAGTGACTCAATAGAGTAGATAATCCTATATGATAATCATGTGCTGTGAAGAGAGAAACAGCAGGTAAAAGAGCTCACTTTACAGCTGTGATGTCAGGGATTCTGAGTCCCTTATTAAGTTCAAACATCGATTGTCTAAGGTGGGAGAATGGTGGGAGAATTTCCCAGTAGGGAGGACTAGCTGCTTCCTCTTCTTTGCAGGGAATTACTCTGTAATCTCTCTCTCTCTCTCTCTCTCTCTCTCTCTCTCTCTCTCTCTCTCTCACACACACACACACACACACACACACTTCCCATTCCATTGCCCGTGGCCATACCTTTATACCGTTGGTCCTGCTCAGCTCAGCCCATGTCGGACTGTGAGATCACACAACATGCTCCCATGAAATCCACAAAATAGGTTGACCCTTCTCATAGCTGCTCCTAGGGGCTTTCTACACAAGACACAGAGCCTGGGCCAGCAGCATTGAGGTACCTGGAAACTTGTTAAAAATACCACAGCTCAGGTCCCACCTCAGAATGAATGAGAATCTGTATTGAACAAGACCCTGGATGATTCGCATCCACACTAAAGTGTAAAAGCCTGGCTTAGAGGACATGTTTCTGCTTAACCATCCCAACCCCACCTGCCTCCATGACATGGATGGGCCTTTCCTACCTCCTAGAGACTCTCCTATCACATCTGGGCATCTCAAGTTCAAAGTCAAGGGAGAGGCAGCCATTTCTTCCTCCTCCTGCTCACCTTCCAAGTTCTAACTTCCTGTCATCTGAATCCAGCACCTAAGCCATGGGTGCACACATGGGCAACAACGGGGCAAAAAAGCTTCCTTGTTAAAAGAGGCCTAGGAATGGAGTGAGGTGGCAATAACAATAATGCTGATAAGTGTATCGGGAAGGGATACGTGGGAAATATAAGCTTCAGTATCTTGGGAAAAGGTGGAATATAAACTGTAATGAAGCCATGCAGAGTATGAAAAGGGCCATTGGGGAGGCTTAGGTCTGGGTGGTCGTGCAAAGCTAGTCCTCAGTAAACCCCCACATGCTTACTCAGGCAACCAAATATGAGAGAACAGAATGAGAACACAGGAAGCATGCCGCAGAAGTGACGCCCAATGTGACATTTCCGAGGGTTCCTTCAGGGTGTCCACAAGGCCGCAGTCCCAAAGCCAGACGCCAGGTGTGTCTGTGCAGTAAGACCACTGGAGGCATCGGTCGTGATACAAATATGAACTCTCCTTAAGTCACATCCTGCAATAAACAAGGTCATATCAATAGATCTCATTAAAAGCTGGAGTTTAAGACAACTTTTTCCTTTAATTGATATTTACAGTCAAATTCCGGGGGGGGGGGGTTAATAGATCTCATTAAAAGCTGGAGTTTAAGACAAGTTTTTCCTTTAATTAATATTTACAGTCAAATTCCAGGGGGGGCGGGGAATAGAGTAGTACAATATTTTTTCAGTCATTTTAAGATCACTTAAAGAGATTGTTATGCCACAAAAATGAAGTATTGATAGCAAGGCAGATGCCTAACAGTGGAAATCTAGCATGATTAAGCGTTATGGATATTGATTAGGCAGCAAATTAGACAGGCCCTCTGTACGTAGGTAGGGGTTTCAGATTCACCACAAGTACTCTCAGTACAGCATTATCTTCACTCCCCAAGCCGGTGTTTAGTCACCGTCAGTTAGAATTGCATTTGGAGGACACTGATAAGTACTCGGGTACTAAAGGCACCTATAAAGTGTCAATAAATTGCATACTTAAGAGGCTTTGCCATTCTGCAAGTGACACAAAGACAGATGGTTCCCCATCTAAGTATTCCTGAGACAAAGCTTTACATAGATAGGAGAGCGGAATTAGACGGTAATGGAGAGAGTCCATTCCCATGGTCGGGTGCTCAATTAATTTAGCCTGTCCAGTTTATGTTGCTTCATCTGTTACGTGAGGGGCCCATAAAGAGGCTGTGAAGAAGAGCTGGGATGTTTACAACTTTGTCACCCGTGCCTCGTGCAGACCCACTAGAATTTGAACCACCTGGATCTTCGGCCTGGGTACCAGATCTATTTGATAAGACAGCCTTTACCATTTGGACAGCCAACTGATATGAAAGTCCCATTATCTTTCAGAACCTCCTTAGTCCTGAGGTTGGTGTTGCACTGTGCTTGGCCTCCTGGAAGGTGGCACAGAAATGCCCCGGCATCGGATTCCTGACTTAGCATGAGGCATCAGAGCCGGAAGGGGCCACGGGGTATTCTGGTAGAACTGCCCCACTCTACCAGGTCCATGGAGTCTGTGGAAGCCAACTGTGTTCCTTGCTCAAGCTCTCCTGTCTGTGGCAGTGTGTACCAGGTGCTAGGCTCCTAGTCCAGCACTCATGTTCTTAAACTCCAGCCAAAGATATGACTCTGGTTTCTTCCTTTTGTAGCATCAGAGTCATGTTTTGATACCAGTCTTCTTCCTTGACCAGCATGACTGGATAAAATGGGCAACTTCCATTGTGACCTTCTACCTAATGACGATGGTAGCTCTCAAGAATCAGGCACTACCTAGTCCAGATACTGTGCCATATGCTTCCCACCTAGAACCCCAGCTGGTCCCTGCAGTAAACCCTAGAAGGCAGGCAGTATTGTCATGATTCACTTTTTAAAAAGAAAACTGTAGCTCTGAGAGATTGGTTTGCTCTATTCACTTCTGCCTCAGTAGGAGGTTGGATGGTATTTCCTGTCCCCTGAGCCAAGCCCCAGCTCAGAGCTTTCCTCCTTTTTCAGGAATGCCAGCTGAGTGCCAAGTCAGGAGCCCCTGCTTTGAAAGGCCCTGGCGTGGGGGTTGTCCTCCCCGGGCACCTCTGTCCCCGCAGTCGCTGCAGCAGCAGTGAGCTGTCTCTCTCCAGCACCTGCAGCGAGTACTCCAGCGGCTCCTCCTGCACATGGCACGATGGGAAGAACCTCAGGAGAAGGGTAAGGCCTCCTTTCAAGGCGCATCACCGTCAGAGTGAACTAGGAAATAATCTTCTAGAAGCAGGTGGGAGGTGGGCGGGAGGGCTAAGAAAGAAATTACCATTTTTCTGAGTACCTGTTCATTTACTCCTCACAAAAACTATGTAGGGAGATAACGGTGTCCCCATTATGAGGCAGAGGAACCAGGCTCACACAAGGTTAAGTTACTTGTCAGAAGTCACACAGCACGTGAGGAGTGGAATGTTGATTTGATCCCCACTGACTTGGACATCGTGGGAGGGAGTTGGGAAGACGAAGACAGTTCCCTCTGTGCTTCGGTGGAGCCTGGAACCTGGAGCCCTGGCCTGATGGAACTGTCCACGCTACAGACCAACTCAGACGCTTCCCATTAGCTTTATGAACATTCCCCATCACTGTGTTGCTCAGAGAGGCCTGTTACTGTTCAGTGCTAATGAGTCAGCAAGACCACTTGCCACACCACTCCAGACTGAGCATCCCATGAGAGTGACAAGAGAATTTTGCTTCTTTTTTTCCTGGAGAATAGGGAGAATGGGAGATTATCTCAATAAATGGCCAGAATTTTGGAAGTATTGTTCACTTTGTAAAAATACAGTGCTCAAAAACAGCATATATTATATTAACCTTTTCTACTCAATGCTATAGCCTCATAAAAGGTTAAGTTACTTGTCAGAAGTCACACAACTAATTGACTATAAATTGGAGGGTAGCATGATAGAGAAAGAAAATACCATGGTAGATGACCGGCACCAGGGCTCAGTGAAGATCCGCATGTCCCTATTTCGATGCCGGGAGTCCCTTTACCAGGCTTGCAAATAACTCTACCGCTGTAATGAGTCCCATCTGCAAAGTGGGCTCACACAACCGGAGATTCCTTCATGCTTTTTACAAGTATCTTTGCACAGTGGTGTAAGCCAAGTATTTGAAATAGCTGTTTTTTCAGTTTCCTAATGTTGAAGAAAAGCCAAGAGTAAATGAGAATAGAAACCCCAAATCAGACTGTTTGGAGGTCATTTTTTTATTATTCTTATAAATTAAGTTTACAATTTCAGAAGCATGAAAACCAGAAAATTCCATTAACTTCCAGAAAATATTGGTGAGGGGGTAACTTTGTCATACCCTGAATAATAACTCAGGAAGGGATTTTAAACTAGAATTTGGGGCTTATTCCCTTGGACTCAGACTTCTAATACAAAGTTAGCGGTCTGGTGCATTATCAAAACTGTTCCTTTGAAGGAGATGTTTGGGGTTGTGAATAATGACTGCTAGGGGCCTGGCTCTCAACCAACTGGGAAGATGGTCAGGGATGTCCCCTCTCTTTGCCACTGGCTCCCAGAGCTCCTTGCTCTGCTGTTTTGCCCTCACACTCCTCCTTTTTCTTCCTCTCAGAGCCTTTTTTGTTATTTTCTTTCTACCTTTTGGCTGAAATTATTTAATTAGAACAATCTTTCATCTTCTAGGGAAACGTCTTTCCTGAAAATGTAGCAATAAGGTTCTTAGGACACTCAGGTGGCCGTGATCCAGAGATTTCAGGGTCCTGGCTCAGAATGGCCATGGTGTAGCAGCACACCTGTCACATGGCACAGAGGGAAGTCCCAGTTCTCAGGGATCCAGCAAACTAGACACAGTCTTACAACAACAGCTCAAATTCATATGACTTAAGGAACTTCTACAGTTCTTACTATGTGCCAGGTACTCATTTAGTATTAACTTATATAATATATATAATAATAAATATAATATATATAATATGAATTTGAATGTGAATACAATATTAACTTACATATGAATAAATATATAGCCAATGGTAGTATATTGTAGTCAACAAGTATACCTTTTTAGTGCTGTTATGTTTAGAAACAGTGCTGTTATGTTTAGAAACAGAAAGAAAGCCCACATGATATACTTAGCCTGCCCTCTATGGAGCAATTTGGCCTAATGAGTAACTACCGTGTGCCACACAGTTTTGTTAGCACTTCCTAGGTATTAGCTCATTTAACGTTCAGGATAGCTTATTAAATAGCACCCCTACTCCCCCATTTTATAGATGAGGAAACTGAGATGCTGAGAAATTAAGGAACTAGCTCAAGATTTCATAGCCAGCAAGTAGCAGAGCTGGGCTGTTGATTCCAGAACCTTCACTCTTAACCACTCAGCTACACCAGCCTTGTTGAATCAGCCCAAAACTTGGAGGAGTTGTTCCAATTGTTGGGATGGATTTGTTCCCAATAAGACCAAGAATGTCCTTTAAAAAAATGTGCAGAACTGTAGTCCAGTCAAGAAATAGGAAAGGACTGTGAATTAAACCCAAGCCCCTGCCTCGGCAGCATTTTCAGCCAACTGCTCCCAGAGCAACTCTGCAAAGAATGAAGCTGCCTGTGGGACCTGCCAGCTCCGCCCGTGGTCTCTCCCACAGGGACTCGTGCTTTTTTTTTTTTCAAGTTTCCAAATTGTTCCAAACTTTTCTCACATTATTGAGTACCATAACCTCCTGTGTACAGCTGATTGAGGAACCGGGCAGAGATCCTGGGCCCCGGGAGGTTTGTAGCCACTAGCCCTGGGACGAATTAAACCACAGCACGGGAAGGCTCTGGAGAGGAGAGGCAGGTGGATGGCCGGATGCTGAGCACATCTTCTAAGGGTTGAACAAAGCAGCCTTTTCAAGCTCTTGCTGGGTACTTAGAGCCTGTCTTCTCTCCTTTATTGTGAATGTGACTGTGGAGATCATGGACATTCTCAGAAAGCCAGGCTGTGGCAGTCCGCTCACTGGGCGGCCTATAATTCCCAAACTCAATGACAGGATTTCTCTGATTTCCGAAGGACTTTTAATGGTGCAGGGGAAGAGGAGGGTGGAGGGGAAGCATCACCAAAGAGCATCTATCCGCAGCCCTTCTGACCCTGAAGAATTTTTTAAAGAAAATATGCTAGAGAGCATTATGCTAAGCCAAATAAGCCAGTCAGGGAAAGATAAGCATCACATGATCTCACTCATATGTGGAATCTAATGAACAACATAAACTGATGAACAAAAATAGACCCAGAGACAGAGAAACATCAAACAGGCTGTCAAACCTCAGAGGGAAGGCCGGGGAGGGGAGAATGGGGGAGGGAGATCAGCCAATGAACTCATATGCATATATGTACAACCCATAGACACAGACAATAGGGTAGTGAATGCCTGGGGGGTGGGGGAAGAGGAGTGGGAGAGATCAGTAGGGGGGAAAAATGGGGACATAGGTAATACTTTCAACAATAAGGATGTTTTTTAAAAAAGAAAATAACAAATAAAACACAGATAAACAATATATATATTGTTGATAGCAAGAGTAATTTTTATGAAAATCTCTTAGATGTAAACAAATGTTCACAGCTTACTGAAAAGCTGAGATTCCAGTGTAAGCGTCTGACACATTTTCAACCTCTGCTTATGAGCACATGGTTAGTGTTGAGAGTTATGGGACAGAGGTTAGCTGGTGTGGAGATGCCAATGGTAACTGCACTCTTTGTCAAGAAGAATTAATGGTGACATTCTTCACCATTAATTTTACAGCCTTAAAAAAAGGCATTAGGTCAGTGCCCACATCCCACCAGATCTCCTGCGTGCTGGTTTGTGATTAAACTGCACGTTCTGTTGGAGAGAGGTGCGGCGATAACCTATGATCTCTATTATGACATTGACTGATATAGAGGGGAGAAGAGAAACTGAGCTTGACTCCGGCGGTACGGCATCGAGGTAAAGTTGTGCAGGCCCCAGAGCCAGACTGCCTGGGTTCAAAGCCCCACATGGCCACTTTGGAAGTCAGTCGTAGGAAGAACCCAGGAAACTAGAGTTCACACCCTTGTACCAGCTCTTCCTTAGCTGTGTGATTTCCAACAGACTGATCTTGCTGAACTTCAGGTTCCTCCCTAATAAACAGATGGCAATGTGTCCTTCATGGTGTTGTTCTGAAAATTAAGTCAAAGTGCTATGTAAGTGGCTGGTACACAACAGGTGCTTAGCCAAGGTTAGTTCCCTCCTCTGCCCTTCCATTTCCTGTTAGCAATACTATGAAAACATATGAATGTCTGTGTAGAATGCAGTATATTTTTTCTATGTCATTTCTTGGTCTCTTCTCCAAAACTAACCCAAGTATTGGATAATGTCTGAGGACAGGAAATTGACTTTTCTCAGTTAGTAGGTGAATCATCACTATGGGTTCTAACAGCAAATGCCCACTGCTATTTGTGTGGGTGTATTTCCCAGGTGTTCCCTGCCTGTCAAAGTCATGAAGTCACATGACGTTGTAACCATCCAGAGTTAGAATGGAAGGTACCATAAAGACATGGGCTAACTTACTTTTCCATTCATCCTCGACCTCTCATGTACACTGAGGCCAAACTGTCTTTGGTTATTCCCTAAATGTACCTTAAATGGACCTTCCCAGTTTGGATCCTTGCTATCACATTTCTCCTGGAAATCATTCTCCCCATTTTTAAACTAAAGCAAACCTAGCCATTGGCTAGGTAGGTTTTTTAAAAAGCAACAACTTACCTTATGTGGTTTTCAAGCTTTATCCAAACAGACATATGGTCTCTCTCCCCTGAACTTCTAGAGCACCCATTTGTGCCCTTGACTTTCAGTTATATGTGCTCAAGCCCTCTGCTCTGCCCGGTGCATGCTGCTTGAGGGCAGGTCCTTATTCTCTACTTCTTTAAATGATATACTGCTTAGCTCAGAGCCTGTCAAAGTAGAAATCTGCTTCATAGTTAATTAAGTTGCATTAATTCATGTATGCATGTATTGTGAATATTTGTCAGCCACTAGAACAAAGGAAGTTCAGGGATGGACTTCCGTTATAAAAGTGTGATCCACAGGACTCTATCCTTTCTGATCTCTGCTTTTCCTTCCTAGCCATCATCACAAAACTGGGATAAAAGGCTAAGTATTGACTCCTCGCTCCCAAGTGGCTTTGCTAGTCCCACCGACGAACTACCTCTGACTC